TATTGTATGTACAATTTATGGTCAAATGCCGCGACTATAAAAAATGTACACATACAAACATACTTTTAGTCTTGTTTTGAAATGAAGAATTTAACAATATGATGGGTATACTGATGTAATTTGATAAGCTTCATGTAAAAAGAGAAAAAGAATAGAATAGATTAATAGATCACATTAACCCACCCCCCCCCCATTTACGCCCTTTACCGGTTTCCCTCCTATTGATAATGCTTGCGTAAAAAATCTTTAAAATGTTTCATTAATTGTTAGTAGAGTATATAGGCAAATTTAATTTATAATTTAAAATCAAAATAAAAAAATAATAATCCGCATACGGAAATCAAACACATGCAATATAATCAATATTATTAAAACTCAATGAGTTTATATTCCTGAGGTGAGAAATAGAATTTGTGTTCAACTTATTAAATCAATTTATCAAATTATACTCGTTAAAATATTACATCGAAATGAATGATTAATACCTGTATATGAAAATTGTATTTTTTAAACGGTCATTTACGATATCGGCATTTCGTTTTTAAACAGTTGGATAAATAAATAAATAAATTCGAACTGACAATTATTCATCAATTAATTACAACCGTCAGAGTATTGAATATTTCTATCGGTTTTTATAATACAAGTGTACTAAATTTAATTTAAACAGCTGCTTAATGTGGTTTTTGAGCTATTTTCATAGAATTAATGATAAAGAGGTAAAAATGCCCGAGATATTCCGAGTAGAAAAATCCAAACCGAGGCCAAACCGTGCGAGAATCGTGCACAAAGCGTGTGAGAAACGTGTACAAAGCGTTTCGTGCAGCCTTTCGTGTAAACCGTGCAGCCTTTCGTGCAAAGCGTTTCGTGTAAACCGTGTAGCGTTTCGTGCAAACCGTGTAGCGTTTCGTGTAAACCGTGCAGCGTTTCGTGCAAACCGTGTAGCGTTCGTGTACCGTTCGTGCAGCGAGCGTGTGGGGTAGTAGCACGTCTCAGGGTCTGTAATGAGCCTTACAAAAGAAGACAATGTTGTTACCTGCTTTGTCGGCAGGAACCAGTACGTACTGATCGTGTAAGCTAATTCTTTTTTCACTTCTGGTTTATTGAACACAGAAGGATAGATGGTTTTCATTTTGCCCCTCAATCTTTTAATACGTGACTTTAACATGGATCTGATACATTTAATCCATTCTGACAAGGTGTCGATGTCTTCTTTTTCATATCTTGCCTATCGTCTGGCGTAATTTTCAAAATAATCCATAATATTTATGAAATTCCGACGCCAGTTGAAGGATTGGGGTTCCCTATCTTTAGGACCTTTTAAAATAAGTGATCTAAGGTCCTCATTACGAACTATTTTTACGTCACCTGTAAAAACGTGTCCAGCAGGACTATAGTTATAGGGCGAAGAAGAACATGAACACGAAAGGGATTATTTTTCAGATATTAGATATCCAGGCCATGTAAAGTGTTTTTGTAATTGAAAAGTTTGGAAGCAATGGTTGAGGTATATTTGTAGGAAATATAAGGCGTAGTCTTTAACTTGAAATATGGTGGAATACAATACTGGACCCTTTTGTGATTAAGAATATTACTTATATTAACCGCGTCAATTCCTTTATTGGCATATTGAAGTTTAAGGACAAGACGGATTGTTTTAGCTGCATTTTCTTCCGTGAAACGTGCGGGTTTAAAAAGCTTATGATGTGCAATATACATAATCACAGAACCGAGCCTATATTCAGGTGTCGAGGAATCTAAATTTGGATGTTCCTTGGTCTTTTCAAGAAGACTATTTAAAAGTTTCAAAGGGACAGAGTAAAGTTTGTTTCGAATATGATGTTGACCTAACTGTTGATTTACATAAGGTAGTAATGAATCAAAAGAGACGTCGTGTATTGCAGGTTTATTGTACGAACGGTGTCCATGACTACGCTTACGTCTCTGAGTATTGTTAAAAAGTCCCATCACATTTACATTATTACACTGAGGGCTTGTAAGATTTCCAACACTATCGACAATGTCATTACATCCATAGGGAAAGGCTGTCCCTAGTTTCCTAATCCAAAATTCTTCACGTTGTCTACGGAAAGGTGTACTCAACGACGGACTATTTGTGTGGTGATAAATCTTTTCCAGAATTCTAACTTTCATTGATAAAATAGAATGATCAGGTGAATTAAAATGTTGATATAAAAGTTGCTGACCACCATGATTTGTTTGAAATCGATGACCTGATATTGTTTAGTTAAGCGATCCCTTGGTTTCACCGACTTTAATAAGTCCACACAGATTACATTCTATTCCATAGACAACATTAGCAGATTTGCAGTTCAGATTTTCCCAAGTTTTGGTATAGAAGCTCTGTCCAGTAAGATTACTAGTGAAAGAAGTGTCAGTTATCAAAATGTCACAGGTTTTACAGTTAGTAAAAATTTTATCCTTGACTTTTCCGATTCATTACTAGTTTTTTGTGACAATAGTTGTTACTTTAGTGTTAGACGAATATTGTCATGGAGGATTTGATTTGGAGATGCTTTTATCTGATCTGCAGAGAGGTATTTCATTTCTATATTGAAAATAAATCATATGAGATGTGTACATGGCAGAGTCTGTCTGTATGTTGTATGTGAACCTCTCTACACCAGACACACCCTCTCTACACCAGACACACCCTCTCTGCACTCCCTGCTTAGAATTGACCACGGATTTTTTCCGTTATTTCCAGATTATGACAACGAGCACACGGCGGGTGTGACCGGTCGGCAGGGGATGCTCACTCCTCCATGGCACCTGATCACACCGCTGATGTTTTGGAGGTCTGTGTTTGCTCTTCTCTTATTTTGTATATTTGTTTAATGGACGTTGAGTTTGAATACTGTTCGTTATTTCCATATCCTTCTTCTTCCACAACAGATGTAGGAGAGTTACAGGGAAGTACTGTGTAGGTAAAAGTCAAACCCCCCTGTGCTTGACGACACAATAGGTCACCTTGACCTGGTACAGGTTGTCATGGGACAGGAGGTCAACAATGTAAAGAGTCAATTGCTGAAGAAATAAGAAAAGGTGATAACGGTAAGTTTCAGGTGTTATCAAATGCGTATCTTTTCTAACTTTTCTCAGCAATTATAAGGAAATGTAGGACAAATGGAAAAACATCATTCAAAGTTCAGAAAGAAATTATATATGGCTGTTGAATAAGTTCCGAGTACACTAATGTTAATCAGCTAATGTCGGTCAGCACTACATAGACCCCTATCTTTGCCCAAGGTTTTGAAATCTGTCTGTTGGGGAGAGAGTTATGTTTTGACTGTCAACCTCAACATCCCGGTGTCTCAGGTCAGCAGGATACTAGCAATAGGGGCTCCAGATGGGGACATACTGAAAAAAGTTCTTAGAGGGTAATTCAGTATCCACCAGGAAATAAAATCAGTTTGCTTCAATGATTTTGGTTAAATGTTACATGTACATAGCTCTGTACATATATTTGTGGTGTCCTTTGTCTCAATTTTGGAAGAACAAATTTTAAAGAGTAATTTCGATCATGGATTTGTAGAAGGGAGCAAGGAACATTTTGATGTGGATTATGGGATCCTTGAGATTTTGATGATTTATGTTATACAGACAGATAAAATCCTACAGCAATTCAGCCATTGTGGTCAGGATAAGGATTTCCAAGGAATAATTACGGTTAAAGTCATTTATTTACTTCACAATTTTCAAAACATTCAAGTTTAAGTTTATTTGTATATGGATAGCTGGATGATCATTAAAATAAATGAATAATAGTTGCTAGGTGATTGACAGGGTCTGTTGGGTTGATATGATGTCCTTGGTCACCTACACACAGGATCATGACCTTAACAAGTGAATGTACTGCTTCTTCAGAGATAGGGGCATCAGTTAACCATGAAAGCCATTTTACACCTGTCACCGATGGTTTTAACAAAACTAAAAACAAAATCTGAAGACAAAAGTCAAGTCATAGTTGAACATAATGAAACAGAGTCCATCTTAAATGTGTAAATGAAAAGTAAATACACAGGAAAAGCAAAGATCAAAGTAAAACGATACTTTTGAAGAACTTAATAGTGGAAAATAGATATTAAATATATAATGATATTCAAATGTCATGGCATTTACTTTTAGGAAGCTGTCAGTAAGACTTGTGTGAGATACTCTGTGATTTTACCAACAACTATCGACCAACATATCCGCTACAGAACTAAACTGGCTTAACTGGTCCCCTATCCTCACACCACGATATCAAGCATTGAAAGGACCAAAGAAAATTTGGAAAGATTGGAATTATGACCCAGTTTTATTAAGCTACTTTTATGTACGTGACAATAAATCATACAAATTGGACATATTTGAACGAGGAAAATATTCTAATATGCAAAAAATATTAAAAATGGAATAATAAAATTTATTATCTTATCAATTATTATCATACCATCAAAACTTTCCCCGTTATCAATGCAGAAAGCGTGAAAGTGCGTAATTGCAGGGAAAAGATTTATTCGTTAAAATGCGTGATTGCAGGGCAACGGTATCTGCGTTAAAATGCGTAATTATGGGAATGGGGTTAATATTTGACAGTTGTAGAGCAATTCTGAATGTTCAAATTCTCATTGTCAGTTATTCGTATTCTAAGCAAGCCAGAACAAAATCGCAAACTTTATAAAAGTATAAAGAGAACAAAAAAAAAAAAATAACATGTGTATTGAAAAAATTAAACCTAAATGATTATTTGGGAAAAACACTGTAATACATGTATATATAACTAATTCTGGAATTTCATTGCAAACATTATTAATGACAATCAAATGCTGGATGAAGTTAATTGTGTGTCACAACGTAGTATATGGCTTGTATTATCACCTGTTGTCTGAAATGTATATATATATATAAGCAATCACAACAAGGTTTCTAAAACAATTATCACAAATTGATAAACTAATTAAACTTAGACATAATACAGTAAATGATTTTATATATCATTTTTCTGTTTCCTGCAAATATTTGTACACTATGACAGTAGAACTATGTAATCCCCCGACCCAGAGATTGTGTTTTTCATCAATACAGAGAGCACGGGGAAGTGGGGGACATTGTTCTGGTGTGAGTAGGAAAGACAGGAACTGGCCATCCATGTCCATCAGGTGGACACTAGAGCATTTCTTATTGTAGCCATTACACACCAAAATGTGTCCCATAACATCCGTACAGATTCCAAAGGGCCAGAATCCATCCTGGGTCTCCTGGCCATAGGAAGAGAAACGATAATCTCCTGATGCGGTCACCACCACTACCTCCTTACGGGTTACATTGTCTGATGTACAGATGTCACCATTAATGTTTTCTGTGATGTATGTGACACTATTGTAGAGTTCTTGTCCTTTACCATCCCACTGTATGTCCTGTAGCTTTCTTCCTTCTTTGTTGTATCTGGTTATTTTATCTTCTGTATTTCTCTTCATCCCGACCAATATGTGTTCATTGATAGGAGAGGAGAAGATGGCTCCAGGTTGCCAACTCCCTGTCTGGATAACCTTGTTGATAGTCATGTCACTACTTAATCTATATACAATGTTTTTACTGCCGTTCGTGTAAAGAAGTTCTTCATCTCTTGTTACTGTGTGGCTACCTTGGATGTACCCTATACTGGTGGATATTTTCTGTAAAACGTTTCCTTTCATATCATACTGAATGAGATTTCGTAAGTCAGCGCTAGCCCAAAATTTATTGGGGGGCAGGGGAGACACATGTATAGTTCCACGTTTTTGTAAAGTTATTTCGCTTACTTTTGTGAACAAAGAAAGCTCAAACCTTTCTGATGTATCTACCTCAATTTTACCTAAAAGTTTGGCTATGTTTTGTTTATTTAAGGTATTGTTTATTTGAGGTTTCTAGATGATTTACAATGAATGTGACCTAATGCACTATACATATTTTTAAAATGTAGACAATTCCCCGGTTCTAACACAGATAAAAATATAATATTTCATTATGGTAAGACGGCAGCAGTAACTAAATATTAAGTTAACAAATAGGGTAGTTTTCAAAATTTGAAATTAGTTATGTTTATTCTTTTGATGGCGATATTGCTGCAGGGAGAAATATATTTTCATTTTTTTTTTAATTCTAATACTCAAGTAAACTTATTAAAACTTAGCAATTCTTCAAACAACAACAGAATTTAATCCACTCAAAAAATTATGAAGATAGGTTAATTTCAGTAAAAGTTATGATCTTGGATTCAAGACAATAGTTATATGAAATGCGCATATGTTTATTATTCCATATCAATGAGATTAAAATATCTTTGTCTTTTTGCGGATGCCTTAATGCTGACATGAATTCTTAAGGTAACTCCACCCTCCTATGATGTCATAGGTTTTTTGCAAAAACTGTAATTAGTTTAAATTCGTGCCTTATAGAGAAATATCTCTTGGAAGAATCCTTTACAATAGGTGTAATGATAATATTATTTAGTTAAAAAATTCAAAAAATGCATATTTTCTATATTTAATCAATTATTCAATCTTTAAATAATGTTAACAAGGGCAATAACTCCTTCAAAGGTCTCATCATTCAGGTATTTGCTTTTCTGTAAAATAGTTTACCTGATATTCACAATTCACAATTCAAAAATATCTTTAAAGTAGGAAGTATTTAGGAACATTCAGCATCAGAATTATGCATATTAACCAGTTTTTACATGTTTTTCTCAATACTTTTTACAAAAAATGTACAAAAAATGTACAATTTTTTTTATGTTGACATACATTTCTGTTTATTTATGTTTTGCATCTTAAATAATATGGTGACCTATACATTTTTTGCAATAAATGGAAAGTTTAAAGTATATTAAATGAAAATATATGCAGTATTTGTACTTTGAACCTATAAAATTGTGAGGATTTAAATTCCTTAAGAATGCAACATTTTAAACTATGTACGACTTGTTTCATACCAACTAAAGCCGTATTCCGCAATATTTCTATAGATACTTAGTCTTATTGTAACGATATATACCCGAATGCGCTCGTTTTACTTGTAAGATTTTTCGACTTGTGCACATCTCCGATGGTCAAGAATTTGAGAATTCATGAGATGATCAAGACACTCAAAACCACAACAATAAACATTATAATCATACTTCTGAATTATTATTGATTTGAATCAATTGCAAAAAAGAAAAAGAAAGAAAATGCAAGTTTCGATGAAAAATTTACTTGCACGAGTACGTATTTTTACAGTGCGCATTTATGCAAAAAAAACTTGAAATAAAAAGCAGTTAAACCCGTTAAAACAATTTGAAATTATTATCATGTGAATGGAACAAAACAAGCGACAACTTAGATTTGCAGGTATTATGCAGTTTATGCATGTCGAGATAACACGTCAAACGCTGTAAACATGCCCATACCTGATAAAAAGATAAATGCATCGTTTCGAAGATGTGCACAAGTCACATTGAGTTCCATTTATTGAAATATGCATCACAAAAAAAAATTCATTGAAACTCATTAGAAAACACACTGTCACTTCTCAGTACAGTCTAGTACGTGTGTACTTAGTCCGTGCTGATCAGTTTTTGGTCAGGGAAAAATATCACAAGTGGAAAGAGAAGTTTTTTGGTATTTGAGCGGCTGAAGGGGGAAGGGTACTTAATATTTTAACTGCTGTTCATAAGGTTTAAATGAAAATTGTCTATCTAGCTCTAATAAGCATTTTATATGTAGCTTGCGGTTGTTTTGCATCTCAAAATTCATATGTCAATTTAAACTGATTATTTTTGCATTGATCTAAAATCTAAACCAAGTAACATTTGATATAAGGTATTTATTTAGATCTAGACTTAAAAACATTTAACCATAATACAAATTTTATTTAAATTAACACGCACGCAGAGAAAGGGCATCCCCTGTATAGATTGACATTATTTATACACTGAATACGCAAGTTTCGAGATTATCTCCATTGGATGCCCTCTTTCGTTGAGGAGGGGAGTATGGTTGCCGCGTAAACAAACAGATGGGACAGATATTTATTATTGGATATATCGCATCATCGATATACTGGTTTATCGTTAGTATATAATTGTAAGGATGCACTGTTCAACTCAAGAACAACCGAATTATAGTAAAGTTGTCATTTTTTAAAGCAAAAAAAGTCGGAACAAAAAAGAAAATTCAGTGAATGTGAGACTTTTAAGACGAGGAAAGAGATATATGGACCTCTAATAATACGGTAAACATGAAGCTGATCATTACATGTCGGCAATCTAAATGACACATTGATTTTTTACCTTTTTATAACTTCAAAAACCCACTTACTTTTTAGGGAATGTTTGTACAATCAAGAAAATCTTTTACTTTTATGAAGACCACGACGTTTATTTCGTTTTTAAGTATCCTATAATTGAAAGTAGATTTATAAATATACACAATTGAGCTTCACCAAATCATCAAATGCATCACTGATCAACATCTTTATCTTTCTATAACATTAAATAAATTTTAAAAGCCATAGAGATCTTTCATTTATTTATGCACGTTTGTATACATAAGCAAAGTGTCCCACCTCAATGCTGAAATGGATACTTTTTGCGCCTTTATTGCAGGGGAGGTACAATCTTGAAACTGGCGTATTGACCACGGATTTTTTTCCCGTTATTTCCTGATTATGACAACGAGCACACGGCGGGTGTGACCGGTCAGCAGGGGATGCTCTCTCCTCCATGGCACCTGATCCCACCTCTGATGTTTCAGAGGTCCGTGTTTGCTCTTCTCTTATTTTGTATATTTGTTTAATGGACGTTGAGATTGAATACTGTTCGTTATTTCCATATCCTTCATTCAGGCATTTACCTGGCCGTTATCTAAATATTCATGCAAGTAAATTTCTCCTAAATCCATTTTTGATAGTATTTTTCATTTTGATGTCTCACTCCGACCACAAAGTATATCCATTTTGAGGAAAATGACTCTTTTATGATTACGTATAGCTACAGAGGTCGATATTTCAGTATCCCTGCCTGACAGTCTAGTTATCTTTTTATAAAAATACTTTCTGTAGGAATATTTCGGAGATAATTTAAAATAACAGGATTTTTTATTGAATCATTGTTACCCATACGGCTTATCAATATAATAAAATCAAATATGAAGAATGAATGGCGAGAGTATGTGGGGCGTGGAACCCCTGGTGTCCTTCTTTCAGACTCCCTTACAACACCAAAAGATGCACATTTGCATTCACATTCTCTATTATTATTGAAAAATAACTGTAGCACATAATACATATATGCATATGAATAAAATTACTCATTATTTCTCAGTTCCATTGCTATGGAGAATAATTTTTCCGAAACCAGTAACATGTTAAACACTGACATCATGAGAGTTGAGTAACAGAGTAAGCTTGTACATTTTTGGATATCTGAAATAAAATGGTTTGATATATTTTTCCTTAAAGTTTCATTAACAGAACATTCGAGCAATCAATGATATTTATCTTCTAGCACATGTCTGACTAGGAGAGGTTGCTTGTTACACAAACTGATTGAGCATAGACATAATGCAGTAAATAAAATACCCTTTTTTGTTTTCATCAAATACTTATACGCTATGGCAGTAGAACTGCCTCATCCCCCAATCCACATATTTTGCTGATCATCAATACAGATAGCACAGGGATTTCCAGGACATTGATCTTGTGTGAGTAGACAAGACAGGAACTGGCCATTGATGTCCAGCAAGTGGACACTCACAATATAGCAATTACACACCAAATTGTTTCACAGAACCTCTGTACATATTCCAGAGGGACGAAAACCAGGCTGAGACTCCTGACAAGAGTAAGAAAAACGGTACTCTCCTGATGCATTCACCACCACAACCTTACAGGCTTCCCAGTCAGATGTTCAAATATCACCATTTTTATTCTCCTTTACAAAGTGAACATTTTGTACTTTACTATCCCACTGTATGTCCTGTATCTTCTTACCTTCTCTGTTGTATCTGGTTACTTTGTTGTCTTTATTACCCTCTATCCCAACAAAAATGTGTTTATTGATAGAAAAGGAATAGATGGCCCCAGGTCTCCAGTTCCCTGTCTCGATATGTACGGTAGTAGACATGTCACTGGTTACTCTGTGTACAGCTTTTTTTCTGTAATCTGTGTAAAAAAGATCTCCGTCGCTGGTGACTGGTGGTTACCTCCGATATACAACATACTGTTTAATATTTCCTGTAGGACATTTCCTTTCATGTCAGACTGAAGGAGATTTCCGAAATTATTACTGGCCCAATATTTGTTTGGGGGTAAGAGAGACACGTAACAAATTCCTTTGTCCTGGATATTTTTTCACCTACTTTTGTGACAGAGGAAAGCTCAAACGTTTCAGATAAATCTAGATCAATTTTACCAAACTGTTTTGCAATTTCCTCTTCCTTTAGTGTTCCTAGTGTACAAGTTGGCAGTTTGGGTTCAGATATGCCGGGCATTTTCAGGTAAGCTAATTGATTTGACATGAGTTCAGTGTGTGTTATGGATGACATTCTACTCTCATAGTCTACAATCATTTCTTCCTAGTGATTTATGTAGCTCTCTGTTTTCTTTATTTGTTACCCATATCATTCAGTACAGAGTTCTCTATTTCAATCAGCTTTTTATTATTATCAGTCAGTAT